ATCATTAAATTTTAACAAACTAATAACAATAAGTATTAAATGGTAAATGATAACCAAATTATAATAACTGATATTAAATGGTAATAAAAAAGCGAACTGAAATACATTAAAAAACAAAATAAAGTAAGTATTAAATGAGAAATAATAAAAAAAATTATAATTTAACAAAATAAAGTAAATACAAATATAATAAAAAACAAAATCTACCGATGCCTGCGACGCGAATGTGTTCCGCAGGGCGGTGGCTGTCGGTCTCGAGGAGGATTTCTTCGTATCACTGGTTCTGACTCCTCACTGTCATCATCATCACTATTGTCGTCGTCGTCGTCTTGCATAGGTACATGAGGAGCTGATGACGATGAAGCACCTCCGTAGAATAAGGTCCCTGGAGGTGTATGACTGACTATCCCACCGGCCTGCGAAAACTGGAAAAAGTCATAAAACCCAGACATCTGAGTGTGAAAACTGTACAGGAGGCGGTGTCTGTGCTACGGCCATGGGTGATGAGGCTGAACCTGCCAAATATCCAGCATATGAACCCCAAGTCGGGTCTACAAACATAGACCCATAATAGCCTCCAGGAGGGGTCATCTGTGACGGTGGCAGTAGCAGGGTCATAAAACCGGGTAAAGGTGGCGGTGGCATCTGGTAATGGAAAGGCGATGACGGCATCATATATGGCTGCGGCATCATATATGGCTGCGGTGGCTGCTGGAAAGGTCCTGCTGGTGCAGCTGAGGATGAACCGGAAGCACATGCTCTCCGTCCACGAGTCAGGGGACGATGGTGCTGTATCGGTGAATGTCTCTGTCGACGTCGTGGAAAGGTCTGCCCTCGTGCATCATCAGGAAGTAGAAACGGTTTCCCGTTACTGTTGAACCACTCAAAATAATCCTCAGCATACATCAAGAAGCCAGTAAAAATGGGCTCTCTACGTGGAAGGCACCGATGTCGATCCTCCCACAACACGACCCACTCATGATGCCTCACCTGCCAATCTGTATCTATCTTGCCACGTCTATCTAAGCTATGCAACTCATCCATATTGCGAGGTGCTTCCGAAATTGGTTGAAAACAACCAAACTGCCGGAGAACGCGATCAGTGAAGTGCCACTCGACGGTCGCATAACAGATCAGAGGGACCATCGCCATCCAAACATCTAATGGACCCCTCAACTCAGGTGGGATCATCGCCCTCACATCATCAGTAGAATATGGCACCCATTCAAACTAAAACAAATAATATATAATTTTTATCAAAATAATAATCTAATTATATAACTATAATCTAAAATCGATTTTTAAACATTAAAATTCATACCTGTGTGTCAGCCTTCTGATCGATTAGCACCCTAATCTTTTCTAAATCATTAGGTAGCTCCTGATGATTTTTCCTATCAGTAGACCACCTATTCGAGGAAAAATATTTGTTATACGCTGTATAAAATTATTAATATACAAAATCAGTTTTATAATTACCTCAAAAGTAGTGGAAATACGAATGGGTTCTTCATAACGGGACATAAAAAGGGCAATTGATACCACGCCCAAGACTACAGCAGCAGGAGACATCGTCCGATAGCATTACGCCTGTAGTCAGTGGCTCCACACATCTCCCTGTATAGCAAAGCCAAAACTGCCGAGCCCCAACTGAATGATCCGGCGAGACGAAAGTCGCTAAGATATCGCAACCACATGTAGTGAAATAGGTTGCGCGATTTGTCTGGCATCAGCAACCCTCCTATCAGCTGCAGTATGCATGCCCGTGCATACATCTTAACCTCATCCTCAGAGGCGTCTGCGCTCAACTCCCGAAAATTGGCATCTAACCAATTTAACGGTATCCTACCTCCGATAAAATTTTCCAGGACACGTCCTAGACTATCCCGACACAAAGCAGTCCAAGAACCGGAAGCTATCCTCGATATCACATCTCCATCCACCAGAAGCCCCAGGTGCATAGAAACATCCTCAAGCGTGATCGTGCACTCTCCGCACGGAAGATGGAATGTGTGGGTCTCCGGCCTCCACCGCTCTACTAAGGCAGAAATCAGGTCTGGCTCTATCTTACAGTGACCCTGATATCTACCTATGTAACCGAATCCAGCCTCTACTAAATACAACAAGACACAGCTACGTATCACTAACTTAAGATTCCTAATAAAAGGATCTAATACAAGTCCTTCTCCTAAAAATAAATAATTACAAAAATTAATTCTTAATTTAATAATCGTGCATTAAATGAATCAACTAATTATTAATAATAATTTAAATTAAAACGTTAAAATGTTACCGTATCAGCAAAGTGTCGAGATATTTAATTATTAATATAGTAATCATGCATTAAATAAATAACTAAATATTACTAATAATTTAAATTAAATTAAAACGTTAAAATGTTACCGTATCAGCAAAGTGTAGAGATATATGATTTCCATCCGAGCGAAGTTGACTGCCTTCGATTATATATCTACAAAAGAATTATATTAGTAAAATATTAAATAAAGTAAAAATATAATAGTAAAAATATTATAAAATATACCTTAAAAAGAGAGTATTTGAGAGAAATGTAGAGAATTTGAGAGAATTTGGTGTGATAAAATTGATTAAGAATAGGGGTATTTATAGGGAGGAGGGGTCGGTAGTTAGGGGTATAGCGCTCCCCCTGCATCGTGCTATACCCCATGTGTCAGATATACAGGTATAACGCGCTGCAGGGGCCGCACTATACCCACGTGGCACCAGCTCACCGTATAGCGCAGTGCAGGGGGCGCACTTTACTGCTAAGGGTGTTAGATCGGGAAATATAATTTGATCGGTGTTAGATCGATAATATTACCGGTCACCGGTGATATATCGGGAAAATCGCCTCATAAATAATAGTGTTTGCTTGTATTTATTATTTTATGAGTTATTTGATTAATTTTTATCTTTTAATAATTAGTTTATATACTTTAATAATTTAAAAAATATTCTAATTTTATAAATTAATATAATTTTACTATAGTCCCCTATTATTAGTTAACAAACACGATTCATGCTTATCTCTTTCTTTTCTTTTATTTTTCCTAATCAAGCTCATCAGATCATCAAACAGTTTATAAACATGATAAGGTAATATTCAGTCTCTATATTTTTTATTTTTTTCTCATATTAGTCTGAAAATTGACAAAAAAATTTAATTTAATCATTAAATTTAAATTTTTTAATGTTTTATGATGTAATATTTTAAGATTATAGTGTTATTATTGAACGACTTTAAAAGAATATATTTTTAAGTGATAGCTTGATATGATATTCGAATATAACATCATATAAAATTCTGAAAGTTTAATTTGATCAATTAAATTAATTTTTTTTATCAAATTTCATGTCTAATATATACTAAAATAAGTTTAAAGATCTAATTAGGAAAATATACTGAAGTCTTATCTCGGTTTGTATAATGTTATTGTAATATTTATGAGGACGTGTTATATCAAGAAAAATATAAGAGGATGTGAGTTTATGTATTATCCTTTAATTTATAGGTGAGATGAGATCTAAATAATTTCGATTATTTAATTTTAAAAATTAAAAAAAATGCAAAATCTAAAGACAAAAGACTAGTGCTCCATCTTCGTTATATCATGTCTTGAATATCAGCGTCCAAAAAATCTTAAAAGTTAACGTTTGGAACTTTGTCTGCATTATCTTCAATGAATCGAAGGGTTGCTACTGATCAAGCATTTGTATATGCTGTAGAACATTCTCATGAGTTGTGTTTTCCCTCGATTTTCTTCAATAATCATTAGGAGATGTCAGGCCAGCGTCCCACTCTTTTGCACCTAATCAAATAATCGGGTTGTCTCAGGAAAGACGAACTAATATACGATTAATATATGGCGTTACCGGAAACTAGTGGCTGTTTGATGGATTTGTGGGTCCAAATTTGTTCACATATGTTTGGTTTGAAACTTCTGTAAGGGAATGTAGATGAAATGCCATAATATGATTGAATCTTAAATGTTGACCACAAAATGCTATGCTTCTAAGTTTCTCTTTCAGTTTCTCCCAGACATCTCCCTAAAATTTCATTCCAAATCTCAGAAATCGAAAGCTTTATATTTAAAAAATGAAGCATAGATTCAGCAAGAGCCCGTTGAGGAAACTTACGAATAATGAGGTATTACGCTTTAAGGAAAATAAAAAGCATAGGTGTTTCTCACTTTTACTTGTGGGATTCAACTCAAAGTGTGTTCTATTCCATCGTTCTTTTTCCTGCATATAGAATTAATCAAGTTGTGAAGCAAAAGTGATTCGATGGAGAAAACGACATCAAGGTTTAAAAGGTTGGCCAAACTCACCAACACTCGGGTGGTGGTGGTGGTAGGTGGGTAGGTGAGTTCGATTGTTGTTTAAACCCCACTCTACTTGCAACCTTTCACCGAAAGTTGATTTATTCCCAAAAATAGAAAGCTCTGAAACATCACACCAAGTTGTAGTGTAGAGAATGTTTAAGAATTTGATTTCCAAGTTAGAAATGCACATTGGGTAAGTGGTCCATAATGGCTAGTTTTAGCTTCCATGCGACATGGAAAAAGCCATTAATTCTCTAGAGTGTTTTTTAGCTTTTAAGAGCATAGAACTAATGCTGAGGAAGATAAGGTCAGCTGGAACATCCAAAAATATCGCCAAACTAAATGAATCATCAGACGCGCCTGTTTTGTCCTGAATTTAACAGATGATGGGCCACCATATCCTGTCCAGCTGTCATCATATAATCATATTGTCTTCACTTGTTCGTCGTGCTCGACTGTGAGAAAAGACCATGGAGAAAATTTGGGGTGATATGGAATTGCAATACTGAATTGTATATCATATGGAACTTGGTTAATGGAAATTACAAAGCTCACAACAATATTTTACAGTGGATAAAAATTACAAAAGTATGAAAGCTGGTATTCCATTCTTCTTTTCACCACCTTGAAAATTTAATTTCACTACATCCACCAGAATTGAATCTGAATTTTCTGTCATTGAATATCTCGTTCCCGCAGTTTTGGTCAGAGCAGTGTTGAAATGCAAATTCTAAATTTGAGCACCTCTTGCTTCCAAGCTCTAGATCACATTTTGTATCGTTTAAAAGGGCAACGGTGGTGCATTAAAGAGCCTCACCGGTTTACCAAGCAGAAAAATCTTTAAATTCTCCGGGAGCGATTTTCCTTTTCTTTGTTACAGAAATTGATGTTATATTGGTATCAACAGCAGCAGACTCACTCTGGGAGTTCCTAGCCTTTAAGTACTTTCCAACACCACCACCGCCAATTGCTCCAGCTTCTGCCATTCCTGTACCTGGATTGCTATACCAAGACCCAATCTTATCCTGGAAACTCAAAGGAAATGGCCCAAAACAATCAGTCATAAAGAAGAAAATATAAATAGAATAAAAAACTAAAATTCAGAATCTTGGAATCCAGGGGACCCAAAACTAACATTATCTTCATCCTCAGTAGCCTTTTCACCATTGCTCTTTTCTTTCTCTTCCTCTTCCTCTTCATCAGGTTCTGAGTACGGGTTTACAAATACTGTAACACTAATTATTTTAATCTCCTCCTGCACAAGCAACACAGGAAAACACAAATTATTCTTGGAACATAAACTATCCTAGAAGCCAATCCTTTGAACAATATCAATGCTTAAATACAAGTTCAACATTCAGGATTTTTCCTATCAAACAGTTTTTCAGCAGTAATCATACACGATGAAAAGGGATGCAGCAGCAAACACCACACAAATAGATATTCAAGATTTATTGTAAACAGAAACTGGTTTTGACCTCAATATTATTTCTTTACGCAAAAGAAATATAAAATGCAAGATTATCTAGTTAAATGGCTAACGATTTATAAAAGGAGAAAAGGAGATCTTGCATTTGTATAATGAAGCAATCAACCAAGTTGATGAATAACATAAAAACTAGAGAATCACTAATTATGGAAATAATCTTCAACATCAAAACTCACCAGAGGTTTGTCATTGTCATCCACAGGAACCTTCTCCATAGCTGATAGTGACGTCAAACCACCAACAACTCCACCAAAGACAGTATGTTTGAAGTTTAAATGATTTGCAGATTTATATAGGATGAAAAACTGCGAACCATTTGTGTGAGGGCCACTGTTAGCCATACTAACAACACCTCTTCCTGAGTGAAGCAACTTAGAGTTAAGTTCATCATTAAAAGGCTTTCCCCATATAGATTCACCTCCTCTCCCAGTACCAGTTGGATCACCACCTTGAATCATAAAATTCCTAGACACCAGAGTACGACTTCATCAGCATGAGTAAAAATTATCAAGCCGAGTGATGAAAAACAGTAGACAGAATTTGAACTGAGCAATTAGCACTATACCGAATGTTTCTATGGAAAGCCACACCATTGTAATAGCCACGTTCACAAAGAGTGATGAAATTCTCACTCGTCCTCGGAGTAATATCACAGTGCAGCTCAATGTTCAAATCACCATGTGTTGTATGCAGCTGAACATAACCTTTCTTTTTAGGGTTTTTTTCAACTTTAACATACTCAAATTCATTTTTGGTGACTGGATCATAATTGGTAGAAGTAAAGGATCGTGAAGCAGCACCAGTTGTAAAACGACTCTTCACCTGATAAAAAAATCCAATGTTAAAACCGACCAAGATCCAATTTGCATAGACATATCTTGAGGCATTTTCTACAAAGTTTAAACCCATCATTGATCTGAAATGATGAATAAGAATATCCACAAATATCTTCATCAACAAATTATCATTTTCCAATTTTCTAGATAATCAATATGCAAATTCTCACATAAGCTTGCCACTATCAATTGATTCACAATAGAATCATAAGTATCACATATCACTATTATCAAATGTCTAATCCACAAATTGACACCAAAAAAGGTTTCTAAAGAGTACCAACACACAATGAAATAAAAACTCAAACAATGATAATCATGGCACTGGTTTAGGATGAAATGAAGTTCCATGATAAGTGGTTATGCCCAAAAGAAAAGAAAAGAAACAAGGAATTTACCATCTTAGCATTCACTGGTGCCCTCTCTCCAGCCATGTGCGTAGCGATCCGAGCAGCCGTTTTATCACTTGATGCAGCTTTTGCTGCCGCAGCACTTCTTCCATGTACTGAAGCAGATGCAGCATCCACAATACTAAATGCAGGTTGACTTTTACTCTCTCCGTTTGCATCTGCCTTAGAATCCTCTTTGATGCGAGATCTGGCAGCTAAAATGGCAGCAAGAGCAGAAGCTCTCTCATTTTGAGCCTTACTCCCACCACCTCCAAGTAGAGCAGTTTGCTTCGCTTTGTCTGTTCCAAGCTCTGCTAGCATCTGCTTGATATCTCCAGCAACATTTATGTTATAAGTTGGATCTGAACTCATTTTTCTTAGTTCTGCAAAGATTAAGAAAAATCAATAACATGAAACAGGAGGGGCAGACATCGCAAATCGTACCAGTAACTACAGCTAAAACAGCAACAAATACAATACCTTCATCATCAACCTTCAAACTATTTTTGACATGATCAAAATCCAAGGTAACCTTACTTTCTAGTGCATTAGGATTCTGCAGAACATAAGCAGCAAAACAAGAAACATCTTATAATCATGAATCATGATGTGCAGCTGGCAAAACAAATAATAACATGTTCAGAAAAGATAAACAGATTATAAATTAAATTTACTGTTTACCTGAATTGTAATTATATCTTCCCTAGTGAAAGGTTCATCTGTAAGAAGCTCTTTCCAGTTCTTAGTCTTGATATTTAATTCTTTAATTGCCTGCAAAAGGAACAACACTATAGTGCTTTAACACACCGAACATATGACGAAAATCTTGAAATAAGCAATAAAATATACCTCATAACAGAACACGTTTCCTGTAGTCTTCACAGCAACTATGTGTGTGTACTCAGTAAAAACTTTGTTCAGAACAGGGCAATGATACTCTCCTGCATTGAGTAACACATTTTAATATCCTCAAGACATGCAAAGTAAATCAATCATGCAAAGACTAAAGACATCCAAATAAAGTTAATTCTAAAAAAAATGTAAAATCTAAAAGAAAAGCAATCAGGATATCAACACAACCACAGAAAAAACAAAAAAGAACAATGTTTTTGCACAGAATTTTACCAAAATGCAATGATATAATCAACATGACAACAGTTGTAAGAAGACCCAGATTGTTATAGAAAGGTTTAGATATTACACAAGACTGAATAACCTTTATTTACATTATCACCAAAAAGAATTTCAATCATTTATTCCATTTCTCAGTTAGTTAAAGTTGATCTCACAAAGGTATGGCTTCAAAGTATAACAAACAGGATTTATTACTATTTGCACTTCCCCCTATTACCCTTCTTTGCCAACTTCATGATAAGTGGAGAAGGTTGTCTTGACATAACCAACAAATAGTATACTGGGACACTGAAGAACAAGGCCATTAACTAGCAAAATCTAATTCCAACTTCCTGATTTTCAGCTTAAAATTTAAACAAAGAGGAAGTGTAATCTAGTCTGAAATGTGGATGGGGCAGTGAGAAGTGATTGGAAAAGCAGTGGAATTGGTGGAATTCTTAGAAATGAAGAGAGCAAGCTGCTGGGTTCCTTCTCGGCATCTACTGGTCCAGGTCCGCCTATTTTAGCTGAGTTGAAGGTCATTCAAGCTGGTTTAGCTATGTTTGTAGAGTCAGATTGGTGTGGAAAGGGTTGGTTAATTATAGAGACTGATTCTGCAATTGCAGTGAAGTGGATTAAGACTCCAGAAGTGTGCCCTGCCGTGTTTTTACAGCTATTTAAGGAAATTGTCAGTGTTGTATTGGAGCATAGTGTTATTATTAGGTTTGTAAAAAGGGTTGTGAATTGGGAGGCTGATAGTTTGGCTAAGCCAGGTATAGGGTAATTTTTTTGTAACTTTTTGTTTGGATGATGTGTTTGTATAGAGGATTGAGGTTAAGTTGGTGTGTGATGTTTGTAATACCCTGCTGTTGTACGAGGTGTAATTTCTTTTTGGCAATAAAATTTGTGGCACTCTTTTCCTCCTTCCAATGTCTGCTGAGGTACTTATGTACCGCGGCGGTTATGAAGGGGTTTTTTAACGAGGCCTCGTTTCTTATCAAAAGTCTGGCAGAACACTAACATATTTAAACCAATAAAAGAACAGGAAATAACTCAAAACGCGGAAGAAGTTGCATTCGTCACAATTTATAGAGAATGAGAATAACCTAAATATAACATACAACAACCATCTCATAGCTTCGTTTATACAATTCAAACCCAAAGTAACTGTATAAAATCTAAGATTCACATGCCATGTATAAAAGAAGAGACAAGCACTCAAGTTCTACCTTGTTGAGAAAGTTAAAGAGAGTCAAGTAAAGGATACAGATGACTAAAATTTTGTTTTTCATAACATTACTGTAGCATGTGGAGATTATAAATCAATCATTAGTCCCATCCCATGCACCAAATAAAAGAATCTAGAAAACAATTAATGCAATCTAAGAAAAAAATAAACAGTTCAAACAAGGAACAACTTTTTATTAATTATTACACTATATTTTGTAGGAACGATATTTCAAATAAGTATGACCTTTTCAATTTGAACATGACAAATTTTACTTCTACACCCACAACAAGCTTCACTGGCACATCACAGTGCCAATATATCATATGACTGCACAAGTACTACAATTGGTTCATCTTGTTAAAAATAAGAACTAGTTTAAAAAAATATTTCTAACCTTCAGAATTCTTATGGAAAGTTAGATTGATAAGATCCTCTTGCTTCAATGGAGCCCCAGTAACAGGATGCTTCCCATACTTCCTAATATAAGGAACTATATTCCTGCACCAGAAAACAATAAATAAACCCTTAATTACACTTACATATACATACATATCAAAGTTTAAAATAGGTCAAATTGAAAATAAGAAGATACCAACATTAAATCGAAGACGCTTCCATCCTTCGTGCATACAGGCAACTCAAAGGGTGTGAATGTAAGACTGAATGAGGAAACCAAAAAAAAATTAAAATTAAAATTTTGCAATTAAATAAGCGTGACTTTAGTAAAGATACAAGCAAATACGGGAACGAAAGAGAGGCATACGCGCAGCAATAGAAGGGAAGGCGTTTGAAAGGGGTACGATTCTCTTTGGATTTAGCGCCGCCCCACTCGGTAGCCCATTCCGTCTTCGTTATGAACATTCGATCTTTGCTGTGCTGTTTCTTCCCCATCTTCGCGACCTCCTCTGTGACGATTCAATTGCTTTGGGTGCTAGGGTTCTGTGATTTGGGGTAACGGGAATTGGATCTTTTTTCTGATTAGGGCATTTGGAGGGAGGTTTTGACTTTTGACCGCTTTAACACGAGGAGTTCTGCCGACTGCCTGCTCCGATAATTTAAGGTTGGGTAAAATACACTATAAGTCACTCAATTATTAGAAATATTACAAATGAAGTTACAAATGGATCACCCAATTGATCATTGATCATTGTTGTAACTTATAACCGCTCAGTCAGTCTTTAAGTATGCAATATGCGTTAATTTTTGTAGTTATAATTGGTGGTCTAATAGTAACAATTGATAAATTAAATTAATTAATTATTATAATTGATAAATTAAATTAATTAATTATTATAATCAATAAATTAAATGATTTAATTGTAATTAAAAAATTGATTTACAAATTCGCATTGCGATAGTCCAAGTTCGCATTGCGATTTACATATTCGCATTGCGATAGTCCAAGTTCGCATTGCGATAGTCGACTATCGCATTGCGATTTACATATTCGCATTGCGATAGTCCAAGTTCGCATTGCGATAGTCGAAGTTCGCGTTGCGAATCTGGAAACTGATTTGCGATACCGGAGATCGCGTTGCGAATTATCGATCGCATTGCGATTTAGTTTGTCATTTTGGCAAATCCAAAAAAAGTTGGTTAAAATCGTATATTATAAGGCATTTTTGGTCAATGCGGTTATTTTCTCTATAGTTTAAGGTTATTTAGATTGCACTGGAAATCCCCAAAACTTATATCCGAAAAATTCTTAAGTTTCATTTACTTCAAGCATTCGACCTCAATGTTTTTCATCGACGATCAATCCTCTCTCGATGGTCGTGCCTTGCACTGTCTACATCGTCGTAACCGTCGTTCACTCACGACCAAAACCCGACCAACCACACTCCAAGAAACGCCATCGTTTATCGTGAAAGAAGCTTTGAAGGTTCACTAGAAAATAAGACTCTCCCTTTCGGTTTTTCATCGATTCATCACCATCTGATCGTTTGTGGACGATATTGCCTGCACCATCGCATTCCTCGTTATTTTTTGAGTCTATCGGTATCCTCATAAGGGTTATCGTCACCGCCATTGATGAGGGTGGAGTGCAAAAAGTTTTGGTTAACTCCGATATTGTCTCTCTGTCGTTCACCATCATAAAACAACACATGATTGAGACTCTCGAGCTGTCGATCTGCAAATATGGAAAATTTGGAGTCGTTCTAATGACTGAAGCCACCGCACGCACCCCACGCGCCACCTCTTGTGCGTGGGGTCCCCGTCTATTATAAGGGTTTTGAAAAATGTGTTGAACCGCCTGAACCGTTGACTGAGCTCAATTGAGTCGCATTGATCGAGTTACTTTAACTGTTGATCGAGTCATGTTGATCGTTAATCGAGCGTTGAATTTTTTCGAGGCCACTAATCCTGATTTTTTTGACGTCTTGAGTCCATTTTTAGGGTTTATTTAGCCAAATTTGAACCTAGTAAGTTATTTTATAGCTTTTTATCTCTTAATTCAATTCGATTTTCATGTTTAAGATCTGTTTTTTTATGAAATTTGTTTTCTATGTATTCGAGATATTTTGGGATGTCGAATTCAAGTACAAGGGTGATCGAATAGAGTTTAAATGGTTGATCGATGTTGCTCGAAAATCGAGATAATACTTTATTACCTTTTGCATGCTTTATGAAATATGTTGGTATTGGATAATGCATGGATAAATATGATTGGTCATTTATGCATATCTAATTATGGATGGACTCGAACTGAATGCGGTAAAAAGTAGTAAACTGATTAAGACTCGATTGTATTGTACAAGGAAATTGGAAGACCGATAAAAAAATTCAAGGTTAGTGATTAATCAGCAAAGGAAGTAGCCTCAGGATCCTTAAATTCAAAATATTATCATTAGAAATTTTAATGTCATAAATGCTCGGATAGGAAAATTATGAAAATACCCTTAAGATACAAATATGACATGATTTACCACTGATAGTGGAAATGACATGGAAATTAATATTGGACCTAATAAAAGCCCATAATCATCTGTTTAAGTTCTTGATCTGTTTGATAAAGGATTAGTATAACTCATATAAGAGACTAGAAGACTGATAAGAAATAATTCAAGTTCAGTGGTTCTTTAATAAAGCAATTAACCTCAGAATTCTTAGATTCTGATATTTCTCATAAAATAGTTTTAATGTCGGAAATACGAGGATAAGAAATTATAAAATTACCCTTGTGAGATAAAAATGACCTGAATTGACCCTAAGAGTTTAAATAATCCTAAAAAACCATCCTTGATTCGAAAAACTACTGATTCACGTGTTCAATACTCGATTTGTTCAAAAAAAATCTTGATAATCGATTTTTAATCTCTAAGATGGCAAATGACTTCAATTTTTTTTTATATTTTGGAGTAAGCATCCGATGACTAAATTATTGAAAATGATGCATAAGGGTAAATCAAAGAAAATGATCGAAATACCATTGAACTTTGAAATGACCAAAATTCCCTTGAACCCTAAGAATGCCAAAATACCTTGAACTCTAATTTGACCGAAGTAACCTAAAGTATTGAAATGACATGAATATCCTCATAAATTGAAACAAGTAAATGTCTCAGATAGACTATGGGAATACTGATAAACTTGAATGTGGTATCATCTCTAAATGTTAGGGAGCACTAATCGAAATTGTTGGCATTCTCTAACACCGTTGCAATACTAAAATAAATAAATATCACATGAATACATGTGTCTTCTCAAGACTTGCTCAATGATGATTTTTTATGGTGATCTGAGCAGCTATAATATGCAGTTGGTACTATGAAATGAGCATCAATAAGGTATCTTTATTCGAATATTTGGTGATTATTGCATTTTTTAGATTTGTTAGTTTGACTGAACTGAAGGATGGATAAGTCGTTAGAAGTCTGAAATACTATAAATCAACGTTTTACCTTTCTTTGGTTGATTTTACCAAATTTTCTTTGAGAATCAACATAACTAAAATGTCCATACTAGCCTAAATAATGGAATCACTCCTGATATATTTGAATCTTAAATAGTCATGAGGTATCAAACTCTAAATATCTGATTACATCTGTTACTAATTGAACCCTTTTAATAGGGATCTCATTCTTGAAATCTGATCAACTTACATAAGTTTCATGTTTTTAATTCCTGATAACTACCAAGTGCCTCCAAAAAAATATATGAATTCTCCAGTGTGTTCCTTGTGTGGTATATGATTGTTTTATCTGTTCTGAAATGTGTTTAGTTATCTGGTTGATTTACGAATATTTTAACTGATCAATATTCTGATTTACTGGTTTACCGTATATGAACTATGATTGTCTGATATATGCACTCTGGTTACCTTTTTCTACTAGAAAATATAAATATGTTTGATTTATGGATCATGAAACTACTGTTTACTATATGAAATATTTTATTTAGATAATAATTGGATAGGATTTTAGAGTATGGAGGTTCAACACTGATCAAGCTTGTAATTCCTTACAGCCTTAAGGTGACACTTGGGTAGGCTATTAGGCCCTAAGGTACTCCCTTGTGTAGGCCCTAAGGTACTCTTTTAGGTTAGCTCTTATACTTATTGGGTATAGCGTAAGTCCTTATGGTTGCAGCTCTGGGAGACTATATTTTGGTGTACGGGTGGAGGGCAGTTATGTGATTTAAATAAATTTTATTGTCATGTTTACAATATTCTACTGGATCATGGTTATGATATTATGATTTATTGTTCAATCTGATTTTTAATGGGGTGCTGCCTGGGTAGGATACTAGAGTTACGGAGGTTCAGCTTTGATCAAGCTAGTAATTCCTTATAGACCTAAAGTGACCCATAAGTAGGCCCACAAGCTCCAATGTACTCCCTTAAGTTAACTTATATGCCCAATGAGCTTAGGGTAAGTCCTTATAGATGTAGTTCTGGAGAACTATATAATGGTGTTTTGGTGGAGGGTATTACAATAATTTTAAAATTTTGTTTTATTGAAATAGATTACTACTACTGTTTTTAAACTATGTTTACATTTATTTTTTGTTTCGTGAGAATACACTAGCACATATTTTCAATCTTCTGGATATGTCCCTCTGAACGCTCCATCTGAACCATGGATTTCATGACCGTTACCTGAAGATTTAAATAATGGATCTCAACTCACCCCTAGAATATATATAATTCTGGATCAACAAGAAAGCTTTATGTTTTTCATATATCTACTTGTCTTTTAGCATCATCTGGTAGTTTTGTATTACTGAGCTTCCAAAGCTCACTCTGTTACTAGAGTTGTGTATACGGGCTACCCGCCCGTTTAGCCCGCGGGTTTTGACGGTGCGGGCTTAAACGGAGCGGTTTAAAAAGCCCGCATTCATAAACGGTTTTGAATTTTAAGGCCCGTAGCCCGTCCATTTAACCCGTGGGCTAAACGGGCTTACCCGCGGCCCGTTAAATAACAATAATTTTAAACGCTTTAAATGCAATAAAAAATAACGTTCTAACTTGCTACACCTTTAAAAATGATCCAACAACTTGAAAAGGAAGGTAGCACTGTCAAAATAATAAATAATATTTAAATTTTATTTTAAATAGCCGGAAATGATTATAATATAATATTTTTTTAATATTTTTAATCATTAATATATATATATATATATAACGATGTAATTACTTAAACTCAAATTAAAAAAAACAATATTCACTTATATCACCAAATTGAAAAACAAATAAAACAATAACCACATTATACTTTTATAAAACACGATTATTCAAGGCTATAATATGAAGACATAGAAGTGTCTGCAAGCAGAAATTCAAACATAAAAATTCAACAAAGTCAAACATTATACAAATCTAACAAGAAAGTTGTCAAGTGGTCATAATAATTGTATTTAATGAATACTTTAGAGAAAGACTAAAACATAATATGAAAATATAAAATAAAATACTTACAGTATAGGAGTAAATTTGAAAGATACGATTATATTAAAATTGATAAATATAAGTCATTAATTTGTTAAAATATATTTATTTTCTAAAAGCCTTTAAAAGTCTTTAAAAGTTGAAAAGTATATTTTCAATTTTTTCTTTTACTTTTCTTTCTTATTTTTAATCTAAATATTATGTGTCATGTGATATATTATTAGAATATCATGTGACTTTTTATAATTAAAGAACGAAATGGATAACATACTTCATGAAAAAAATAAAGGTCAAAATTAAATAAAAAAATATTTAAATATCAAAGTGATAATGATATAAATTTTATAAGACTAAAATACTATATAAATCTTTTAATTTTTATTTTTTAAAATGAAGAATAATTTGATACATTGTAAATGAAAAAAATATTAAGCAGCAGTAGAATTATGACAAACGCCCTAATAAATTTAAGAACTACAATGGTTATAAGTAACATCATATTTATAGGTAATTTATTTTCTTTTTCTATAAAATTCTTTAAGTTTATTTTCTCTAAAATTTTATAAATTTTAAATTAAACGGGCTATAGCGGGTTTCGCGGGCTACCTGTGGTTATACCCATTAAACCCACGGTTTAATTGTCCGGGCTAAAAAGTCCGCAATTTAAACGAGCTTTAGTTTTTGAGGCCTGAAGCCCGCACGGGCCGCGGGTTAAATGGGTAGCCCGCGGGCCTTAGCCCATATACCATGCTCTATTTGTTTCTCATCTTTTCAGGTTAAAGGATTTGATCATGTGCAATATCGACATCGGAGTGGGAGTTCCTTCGGCATTGCTTGCAAAGTACGGTACCCATATAATTAGGGGGCATGTAGGTCACATTTGGTTTTATATTGAGTTTGAAACTTTTATGATGTGATGTATGATCAAATTCTTTTTTTTAATATATAACTAATTTTTCTGAAATTGTATACTTATTTATAATTTATTTTACGATTTTTAAATGGTTTAAGAAAATTTTTAAATGATTTTTAAATGGTCCTAATGTGACACTTCTGATTTGATCGAGTCACTCGTATTAGTATGAGGGTGTTACATCTTTATTGACAGTTTTAGCCATAACATAGGATGATGATTCAAGCTTCTATATTTATAGGCTATATTGGAGCTCATAATAAAGAAATCCACGTGATTGAAAATACAGTGGATCATTTACCTTGAGAGCATTGTCATCATTCATGCTGCATTACAAAGAAAATAATACAAGAAAATAAATGATCATCCCTATACAAGAAATTTGGCTTTAAAATGAGGGTAGGAAGCAATAATAGGGCCCTTGATGAACCAACAATAATTACAAACGAAACAAATGGCGTCGAATAGGACAAAGAAAAGGAAGCTGCTCAGTTTGTTATTGTATCTGCTTATTCCAATGATGGGGTTGAATTGATGTATATGTTATATTTTTTATTTTGATATATTTAATTCACAGAAAATTCTCAAACTATGTTACCCATTTTTGAAGGAAATAATATAGTTCTAGAAGTATGTTCATTTTGTGTGTCAGTAAAATATTTCTAAATCGTTAGCCTTTAACTTTCCGAGTATTTTTTTCATCTTTTGTGTATTTTAAACTTAAAACACATAAAACCAAAATTAATCTAATTGATTACACTTTTTTATTAAAAGAAGAAGTTAAAGATAGCATTGTTGAAAGCAAATTTTACCCTTTTTGTCATTAAATAACAAAAGAGATGAAACCTAAAGAGGTAGACATACAAATTCATTAACTTAGTTAAGCAAAATTGGTTGTAACAAAGGTATTATTGAATCTATTAACCCTCTGCTTCCAAATTGCATACTTTTGTAATCACTTGATTTCACAATTAGTAAAAAGAGCAATGAGGAAGCAACGCGGAAGCATCGGGGGCCTTAGCTCTTTGAAACTATACAATGATGAAGCTACCCTTATTTTATAACGAGCAAACCAGGAAAAAAAAGGGACGGCAGTCTCGACGACTCAACCTCTTTTCCTTCACTTGCAATCCACACTTCCGAGTCCCATTTTCTTTTTAAAGCCGAAAGAGAGTTTGTGAATTCTGATCAGATATATTTTCTTTTAGTGTCTTTGGTTTCGGTTTTGAATATGGCAGTGGTTCTGGCACTGGTGGTTGATGGCTTAGGATTACTGGTGGATGCTCTTTGGGGCATGCAAGAGAGACGGTTCCCTGCAACTTTTAATGTTGTGAGTTCAGCTGCTGTTTCCATTACAATGGCATTTGTTGTCTGCCTCTTGTCCATTCATAGGCATGAAAGACCAGAGATTGGTCTTGCCTTCATTTGATCAGCGTTTCCTTCTCTCTCTTTTTTTCTTCCTTCATTGAAATTTCAATAGTGCCCGTGTTGTTTTGTAGTACTGTTTATTGCTGCAGTTCAAGCTTTTCTTACTGATCAACAAGACTATATGTATATGTATTTTATATCAGCATTTTGTAACTTTGGCAAATAATTTGGTAGCCATTAGCAGAAGTTGATGGATTCATGTATTTTTCCAAATTCAAGTATGGTTGTTAGGATAAAACAGCAGACCACTAGTCTATGCTGTCTGCAGAATCAATATCAAAAGGGGATAAATTTGCAGAACAATTGATCTGTAGTTGACGCTGTTTTGCATATGGTTAGACTGGTAGTTAGGCAGATAGACACGTTTTTAGTTATTTTATCAGGTTAGAAATCTAGAAACCTGCGTGTTTGGATTCAAAGCAACCTATCAAGTCTATTGCTTTGTGTGAAAAAAGAATGGTGCTGAATTTAACCAAGTTTTCGTGGTGGGGGGGACATAGGCAAGTTTCATCGGATAATAGAATTTTTATCAAAAGAAGAACATCTTCAGAGCTGGGTTTAAATAGTGAAATCCCTGTGGACCTAATAGGTAAGCCAATCAACGTAACTCAACTCTATCTTAAAATTTAACACAGCTATCTAAAATTTTCTATTTCAATTTTGTCTCTGGGCTAGCAGTTTTGACATATGATTAGGGATCACTAGGTTAAATGCTTTGTAAAATCCTGAATTTTTTTACAATAATTGGTATCAAACTCATTAATTGACTTGTTCGAATCGAGTACTGTAGAGACTTATTATTGGGGTGGCATTCTAAATTCAATTTCTTTCATTCATACCGTTGGGATACAAATCCCTAACCTTACTCAAGGACCTAATGTCTCATCCTAGTAGATTATTAATATAACATTTGTGAACTAAAAGTGCAAGGAAGGAATCAACAAAAGGTTAACTTCGAGTGAAAACTTGAGATAGCATTTTATTCAAAAGCAATCACAACAAAGCTATAAAATAAAAATCCATACACCAATGTAACAACCTTCAGTCAAATCTTCATTTATTTCTCTTAAACCGACTAAAGCCAATTCACTCACAACGTTGCATATAGAAGGCCTGATAAAGGATAGTGGCAGTAATTAATCAAGCGATTGATTAACTAGTACATGATATAAAGTACAGATACAGGATAGGAGTTTCCTTGATGCCAGAAACGGGATACAGATATACGAAACAAGAGGTTTCTCTAATTAAGGAAAAAAAAACGTGTTTAATTTAGAAAAAAGATCAATTTTAATTGATCCCGCATGCTAATTATAAGGTGATTATGGCAACCTGGAATTGCAGGGTTTCTTTCTTGCTAGGCCTGCAGATAACCCTTCTCCTCCAAGTAAGATATCACATTATCAGCCATTTCGCATGGGGAAGCACAGATATTTCCCTTTTGTGGCAATTCTAACTGCAAAATAGGGGGAAAGGGTTTAGCTTCAATTTAAATGTTGGAATATGAGGTTCAAAGAAAACCAAAGTGGAAAGCATTGTCGTTTAGACAATTATTCTCAAGTATGGCCTTGATCTCTATCGTATTCATATTGCCACAAGAACACACTAGCAACTCAGCCTGAACAGTCTTGATTCTCTTGAAGCCATTTCAAGATTTTTGTCAGCTGAAATTTTCATGTTTGGAGCATAAAGGATATTTAGGTGTATCTTTGAACAAGTACGAGCCTATTCCAAACAACAAGAAAGGTACTCCAACAAAATGCATATACCTCACAACTCAGGGGTGGTTCGTACGGATCATCTATGCCAGTAAAACCTACAAAGAAAATATTACATAAACTACTATTAAATATGAGCTTCTACTAATCTTCAGATACAAAAACCAATGGGGAAATATACCTTTAATTTTTCCAGCTCTTGCAAGCTTGTATAGGCCTTTTGGGTCCCTTGCTTCGCATATTTGGAGTGGCACATTCATGAACACCTGTTTGAAGCATTGCCCAGTATTTACTCAGAGCAATGTAGAACATTCTGATGCAAAGTGCTCAATATTTCAGGTTTCTTAAAAGCACATACCTCAATGAAATTTCCTTCTGGCAACAGCGCACGACAGGCATCCCTGTCTTTTCTGTAGGGAGATATTACACTGGCAACGCAGATGATGCCTGCATCAGCAAAGAGTTTTGCTACCTCTCATGTAGGTGAACCGAAAACAAGTTGAAACTTGTAACCATCAGAATAAGAGAGCAAATGGATAAAGCAAAACAGAACTACGATGAGGAATCAAACAGCATTTACCAATCCTTTGTATGTTTTCCGCTCGATCCTCTGCTTTAAAGCTAAGGTCACGGTTTAAACCATGCCGAACATTATCCCCATCAAGGATGTAAGCCAACTTTCCCCTAGCATGCAAGGCATGGCATAGAGCACAAGCCAGAGTGCTCTTTCCTAAATTCATAGACCATAGTAAGAGAGAAGGAGAAACTGTTGCGTAAGATGGTTATCGGATAGTGCAAAAATCGCAACTGATAATTTGAGAAAATAAAAATGAAGATAAAAGAGACACAAAATTTACGTGGAAAAGCCATAAATAATATAGGATAAAAACCACGGGAAACGGTAGAAGAATTTCACTATGAGAAAATAGGAATTACAACTTCTCTCGATCTACCAAGGAGAAAACAATGATAATTATCTATTGATAAAAATGAGAAAACAACTTTAAAAAAACTCTCTAAATTCTCTCTAGTATTGGAAGAAAACTAGAATGCTTTGGGATGGTTTTGAAGCTAAATGAGCTAGGACATTTATAGTTGAAGCTTAAAGACTAATTTGTAAATATCCTAAATTACAATGACTAAAATTAAGATTTTACCATTATCCAAATTCAACTAAAAACCAAACAAACTTTCGGTGCATTAATATTGTTTGACTATTCATGCTAACTTGCTTGACACTTTCGGTGACATGTATTTTCAACAATCTCCTACTTGAAGATTTGATTGGAACAATCATATCTTCACACCATTCTTTCTACCTTGTACCTTCATGTTGCTTACGTTTCTGTCAGGCCACAGGAGGATCGACACCAGGTAAATTTATCAGCATTGATTGCCTTCATCATGAAATCTGCTATGTTATCTTTGGTATGGATCTTCTGCATATCTATCGTCCATTCTTCCACCTTTTCACGAATGAAATGGTACTGAACTCGTATGTGCTTTGCTCTTGAATGAAATGTTGGATTCCTTGCTAGATGCAAGGCGCTTTGACTATCACAAAATAGAGATACATACTCTTGATTGTGCTCAAGCTCCTCCAATAGCATCTTTAACCAAATTGCTTCTTTACTGGCTTGTATAGCTGCTACATATTCTGCTTTTGTTGTGAATGTAGCCACAACTAACTGCAATTTTGAAACCCAGCTTACAACTCCACCAGCAACTTTAAACACATATCCTGTAGTAGATTTGCTTTTATCAAGAATCAACATACCCATTGATAAGTAAGTTTGATCCTCCGTAACATAATGCAACATTTGAGGTCCCTTTGATGTATCTCAGGATCCTCTTTACTGTATTCCAATGCTTTTTGCCTGGATTTGCCATGTACCGACTAACTACTCCCACTACTTGTGCAATGTCTGGTCTTGTGCATATCATAGCAAACATTAAACTTCACACTGCTGATGCATACGGTACTCGAGACATCTTCATCCTCTCTTATTCACTACTAGGACTCATACTGAAGGATAATTTGAAGTTAATAGGAAGAGGGGTAGAAATTGGCTTACAATCTTGCATGTTGAATCGTGACAAGATCTTCTTCAAGTAATTCTTTTGTGAAAGCCAAATCTTACTATTACTTTTGTCTTGGTGAATTTGCATCCCTAGAATCTTGTTTGCTGATCCCAAGTCTTTCATTTCAATTTCCCTAGCCAGTTGTGCCTTCAATTCTTCAATATGATCTTTATTGGGTCCTGCAACCAATATGTCATCCACATACAACAACAATATAACAAAATCGTTATCGCTGGACCTCTTGAAATAAGCACAAGGGTCTGCATTAAGTATGTTGTATCCAAGGCACATAATGAAGGAATCAAATCTCTTATACCAACACCTCGACGCCTTCTTTAGACCGTATAGAGATTTGTTCAACCTGCAAACCAAGTTCTTCTTTTCTTTTTCTTCAAAACCTTCAGACTGGAGCATGCAAATCTCTTCTTCAAGATTTCCATGAAGAAAAGCTGTTTTAACATCTAGCTGCTCTAGATTTCCTAGATTTTGGATCTAGCTTTGAAATTTCTTGGGAGTTGTACATCACGTACACAATAATTTCAAATACATGGAGGTTTGAATAATCAGATGGTTTACTAGCCCACATCTTCATTGGTGTCTTTAGCTCTATTGCAGTTGATGGAGCTCGATTCACCAAATAATAGGCGGTATTGACTGCTTCTGCCCAGAATGTTTTTTTCTAGGCCTGCATCCCTCAACATTGCTTTTGTATTCTCCTCCATTATCTATTCTGAAACACTTGATCTTATTTCCATAATCAAGTTCCACCCGCACTTTAAAGTTTTTGAAAATTGAAAACACATCTAACTTCTTCTTAATAGTGTACACCCAATATCTCGCGGAGTAGTCAACAATAAATAAGACAAAGTACTTTGATCCACCTAGGGATATAACTGGTGCTTGCCATACGTCAGAGTGAACCAATTTTAGAACACTTTTGCCTCTAGAATTTGATGTGTTGAATTTCAACCAGTGCTGGTTACTTGTTATGCAATGCTCACACAAAGTAAGTGATACCTTTGTTAAGCCCGAAAGTAGCTTTTGTTCCACAAGGACTTTCATTCCTTGTTCTGACATGTGTCCAAGTTTTTGATGCCATAGCATTGTAGAATCTGAACTACATGAGGCAACAGAGGCTTCTGCTTCTAGCAAAGTCTCTCCCTTTAACATGTACAAGTTTGCTGTTATCTTTTCGCCTTTCAGCACCACAAGCGCTCCACGAAACACCTTCATGATTCATTTATGTGTTTCAATCTTGCTTGCATTATTATCCAACAATCCATAGGATAATAAATTTTTCTTCAGGCCTTTCACGTGTCGCACATCTAGAACAACTTTAATTGTTCCATCATACATCTTCAATTTGATGGTTCCCACGCTAACAATCTCTAAGGCATGATCATTGCAACTATACATAGATCCTCCTGAGACAGGTTCATAATGATGAAACCATTCTCTTCTTGAGGTCATGTGATATGTTGCTCCCAAATCAATGAGCCATATATCTACATATCTCTTTCTACCTTCCACGATGGTTGACGCTTCACAACATAGAGTATCCCTATCATCTGAAGTGTTTGCGGTATTGCCTTGTGGATTGGAGTTTTTATTTAGACTCCAACAATCCTTCTTCAAGTGACCCTTCTTTCCACAGTTGTAGCACTTTAAATTCTTTTTGCTTCTCGACTTCGATCTACCATGTTTGTGACTGCTACTTTGGCCACGTTCTGTTGATCTCCCTCTCATCGTTGTCAAAGCTTCTGCTTGTTGTAGATTTACTTGTTTGTCTTCCTTGTTCTTGCGCCGATTTTCTTCTTGTAGAACAGCAGCTGCAACGTCATCGAAGACTAGACTGGTGACATTACTGTTTGTCAAGTTGATGATGAGTTGATCATATGAATCAGGTAGACTTTGAAGTAGAAGTTCAGCACGTTCTTGTTCTCCTATTGTACATCTTAGAGATGTAAGCTGAGAAAATAAAGTGTTCAGCGTGTTTAAGTGCTTCGTCACTGAAGTAGATTCCGACATCCGGAGAGTGTACAATTTCCTCTTAAGGAAAATTTTATTGTGCAACGATGTGGCCTCGTACAGTTTGGTGAGATGATCTCATATCTCCTTAGTTGTCTTCTTCTCCTCGATGCTTGACAATACTTCATCTGCTAATGCTAGATGAAAGTTTGTCATAGTATTCCCATTCATCTCGAACTATTTGTTGTCATCTATGAAATCTACCGACCTTTCACTGATAGCTGCTAGACAACCGTCTTTCCTCATGATGACCTTCATCTTCAATTTTCACAGTGAGAAATTTCTCCCATTGAATTTTTCAATATCAAATTTTGTTTCCATAGCTTCTATTACGGATAACTCACACTATTTCACTATCGTGAATAGTTCTCTAGAGCCTTCAACGAATGAGCAATATCTTCTTACTTTCTTATGTTGGAGGATTCACCTTTTGGTGGCAACCACAAAGACAATAAGCATATATTACACACTCAAATCTGGCTCTGATACCAATTGTTGCGTAAGACGGCTATCGGATAGTGCAAAAATCGCAACTGATAATTTGAGAAAATAAAAATGAAGATAAAATATACACAAAATTTACGTGAAAAACCCCTAAATAATATAGGGTAAAAACCACGGGCAACGGTAGAAGAATTTCACTATGAGAAAATAGGAATTACAACTTCTCTCGATCTACCAAGGAGAAAACAATGATAATTCTATTTTGATAAAAATGAGAATATAACTCTCAAGAAACTCTCTAAATTCTCTCTAGGAAGAAAGCTAGAATGCTTTGGGATAGTTTTGAAGCTAAATGAGTTAGGGTATTTATAGTTGAAGCTTAAGGACTAATTTGTAAATATCTTATATTACAATGACTAAAATTGAGATTTTACCATTGTCCAAATTCAACTAAAAACCAAACAAACTTTCGATGCTTTAATATTGTTTGACTATTCATGCCAACTTGCTTGGCACTTTCGATGGCATGTATTTTCAACAGAAATACAATGTGATAAAGTAATGTTGTTTGAACACACTCTTTAGTTTAGTACAGAGAAAGTAACAAAGAAATCTAAGTTCTTGATTTTGACGATACAGGTTCATCCACAGCTAAAAGACCAATTTTCGATTTTTTGGCAACCTTCAGTTTTTGTTGTTTTAGCATGTAAAAAATACTACTATAGCTAGTATAAGCAAGAAGCCATCTTATATACGCAGGCAAAGAATAAAATAAGGTACAAGTTCATGGAAGAAAAAAAAGGTTAGCATGAATTTACAATTCAAATGTATTGTTTAAACAAACCTGATCCACTGAGACCCGTAATCCATATGATACAACCCTTTTGCTGAAGTAACTCTTGCCGATTAAATTTCCCAATCGGACTTTTGTGCCATACAATGTTTGTTGTCTTGCCATTAGTAGCTATCTGGTGGAGATATTCACCTAGTTAGACGTTTGAAATCAGAACCTTAAGTGGATTCAATTGGAAAGAAACCATGTACTAAAGAAATCATGAATTTGCTCTGTCATCATTGCCACTAACTCCATGAAATGGCCAAAGTGTTCATACGAATATCATAAAACAATGTTTCCCAAAATGAGGATTTCATTACTAAAAAACTATTAATTATCAACACAGCATATAAAGATACTGTAAAATTATAAAATTTCAAATATGAAATCATAAAAATTTAAAATTATCATATATTTTATATTTTTTCTATGCATTTTCTATTAAAAATATGTTTTCGTCACCTGGAATTTTAGTTCCCTTAACATAAAATCTTGTGTCCGTCCTGCTAAAGGTGCGGGAATTCAGATGTATCCAGTTGATTTATTTGGTACTATGAGAAGACAAGAAACCAAGCTAACCCGTGTAAACAATGTAGGCAATTACTTCACTTTTTTGAAAAATTATTACCAGACTTTCAGATGAAGTTTGGGGTGGTTCTTTAAACCTCCTTTTCAATCTGGAATATCTACCATTTCACAAAATTGTCAATGAATTTCACTTGGCTATGACCAATTTACAGCAGAGTCATAAATGTTAATGCTTGCAAGTCTACAAAACCCAATTTAGCAAAGTCATAAATGTTAATGCCTGCAAGTCTACCGATTGTCTTTTAAATATACTCCAAATAGGAATTTTCTTTTATATAGAAGATTTGGTCTTTTATAACTAAATATATATTTTAATTTTCTTTAAAATGGAATAAATATCGTTAACCAAATCTTGACAAGAAAAATAAAATTAAACATAAGATCAACTACGACTTTTTTTCGTTTTCTTTAAAAAAAATATCAGAAATAGAAGCAGCGTCATCATTCGTAATCCGCATAAACGATTCCTCCGTTGCCTGAACCAATATCAACTTGGCATTGTTGCCGCTACTCAACCTCAAAGAAAGCGACAACGCCGGCAATGGAAACTTCACGAATCTAACCTTGTCCTCCGGTGCCAAGCGACCACCATCATAACTGGAGGAGGTAAAACAAATCGCCGGCCGTAACGCCTTGAGTACAACCATCTTTATTATATATTTTTTTCTACACGATGGTTGCAAGTTGAAACAGACAAGCAGGAGGAGTTAACGGCAAAGACGTGATTAACAGTCCAAATATGAATTTGATTTCCTGATTTATAAAATGGAAAACGGACGCGGCAATGGCTGGGATTATATTTTTTAAAATTCAATTTTATTTTATTAAATTTTGATTCCACGTGTAATTCCCTGTTTTCTTCTGCTCCAGAGAGAGATGGACACGTGGACAACGGAGAGTGGAGGAGATCAAAAATTTCAGGTCACGGTCATAATTGTGCAGACTCCAGAATCCAATGAAATGATAAACTATTAATATTTATTTTTTACAAAAATATATTTTTCCATCTAATTAAAAATTACTATTTTTTTTATCATTTTTTAATGTTTTTACTATTTAACATTTATTATTAATAAATATATAAAAATATATTTCAAAACTCTCAATAACTAATTTTTAAATTTATATTTGATAAAATTTAATTATTTAAATTTGAAAGAATAAAATAACATACAATAATTTTTAATTTTGTAATTTATATTTTAGAGTAAATTAAGTGTCAGTTTAAAGGCGTTTTTTCCGAAAAATCACCGGTGATCAGTATATTTATCGATCTAACACCGGTCAGATTATATTTCCCGATCTAACACCCGTAGCAGTAAAGCGGGGTCCTTGCCCCGCACTATATACTGATTTGGCGCCACGTGAGGTATAGTGTGCCCCTATACCGCGCTATACGCTGACATGGCTTACACGTGGGTATAGCGCGGCCTCTGGTCCGCGCTATAGCTGTTTATCTGACACGTGGGGTATAGCGCGGTACAGGGGGCGCTATACCTTTAATTACCCCCCAATTCTCCCTATAAATACCCCCATCATCTATTACTTTCATCACACCATATTCTCTCAAATTCTCTCAAATACTCTCTCTATTTAAGGTATATTTTATAATATTTTTAATATTATGTATTTAATTTATTTAAGCATTTTACTTTATTTAATATTTTACTAATATAATTTTTTTACAGATATATAATGGAAGGTGGTCTACTTCGCTTGGATGGAAATCATATATCTCGACACTTTGCTGATACGGTAACATTTTAACGTTTTAATTTAATTTAAATTATTTGTAATAATTTGTTGATTTATTTAATGCATGATTATTAAATTAAGAATTAATTTGTGTAATTATTTAATTTTAGGAGAAGGACCATGTATTAGATCATTTTATTAGGAATCTTAAGTTAGTGACACCTAGCCGTGTCTTGTCGTATTTAGTAGAGGCTGGATTTGGTTATATAGGTAGATATCAAGGTCACTGTAAGATAGAACAAGACCTTATTTCTGCCTTAGTAGAGCGTTGGAGGCCGGAGACCCACACATTTCATCTTTCGTGCGGAGAGTGCACGATTACACTTGAGGATGTTGCTATGCACTTAGGGCTTTCGGTGGATGGAGATGTGATATCAGGGATCTCGTAGGGTTCCTGGACTACTTTGTGTTGGGATAATCTAAGACGTGTACTGGAAAGTTTTATCGGAGGTAGGATACCGTTAAATTGGTTAGATGCCAATTTTCGGGAGTTGAGCGCAGACGCCTCTGAGAATGAAATTAAGATGTATGCACGGGCATGCATACTGCAGTTGATAGGAGGGTTGTTGATGCCGGACAAATCGCGCAACCCAGTTCACTACATGTGGTTGCGACATCTTAGCGACTTTCGTCTGGCCGAATCATTCAGTTGGGGCTCGGCAGTTTTGGCTTTGTTGTACAGGGAGATGTGTGGAGCCACTGACTACAGGCGTAATGTTATCGGCGGATGTCTCCTGCTGCTGCAGTCTTGGGCATGGTATCGATTGCCCTTTTTATGCCCCGTTGTGAAGAACTCATTCGTATTTCCACTACTTCTGAGGTAATTATAAAACTAATTTTGTATATTAATAATTTTATACAGTGTATAATAATTTTTTTTCCTTGAATAGGTTGTCTACTGATAGGAAAAATCATCAGGAGCTACCTGATGATTTAGAAAAAAATTAGGGTACTAATCGATCAGAAGGCTGGCACACAGATATGAATTTTAATGTTTAAAAATTGATTTTAGATTATAGTTATATAATTAGATTATTATTTTGATAAAAAATTATATAATATTTGTTTTAGTTTGAATGGGTGACATATTGTACTGATGATGTGAGGGCGATGATCCTACCTGAGTTGAGGGGTCCATCAGATGTTTGGATGGCGATGGTCCCTCTGATCTGTTATGTGACCGTCGAGTGGCACACTACTGATCACGTGCTCCAATAGTTTGGTTATTTTCAACCAATTCCGGAAGCACCTCGAAATATGGACGAGTTGTATAGCTTAGATAGACGCGGCAAGACAAATACAAATTGGCTGGTGAGACATCATGAGTGGGTCGTGTTATGGGAGGATCGACATCGGCGCCTTCCCCGTAGAGAGCCCATTTTACTTGACCTCTTGAGTGTTGCTGAAGGTTATTATGAGTGGTTCAACAGTAATGGGAAACCGTTTCTGCTTCCCGATGATGCACGAGGGCATACCTTTCCACGACGTCGACAGAGATGTTCACCGACATAGCACCATCGTCCCCCGACTCGTGGACGGAGAGCAGGTGCTTCCTGTTCATCCTCAGCTGCACCAGCAGGACCTTCACAGCAGCTACCGTAGCCATATATGATGCTGCCGCCTTTACATTACCAGATATCGTCGCCACCGTCACAGATGACCCCTCCTAGAGGCTATTATGGGTCTATGTTTGAAGATCTGACTTGGGGTTCATATACTGGATATCTGACGGGTTCAGCCTCATCACTCATGGCCGCAGCACAGACACCTCATGTATAGTTTTCACACTCAGCGATGTCTGGGTTTTATGAGTTTTCCCAGTTTTCGCAGGCCGGTGGGATAGTCAGTCATACACCTCCAGGGTCCTTATTCTATGGAGGTGCTTCATCGTCATCAGCTCCTCATCAACCTAATGTACCTACTCAGGACGACGACGACGACTGTGATGATGATGACAGCGAGGAGTCAGAACCAGTGATACGAAGAAATCCTCCTCGAGACCGACAACCACTGCCCTGCGGAACACATTCGCGTCGCATGCATCGATAATTTTTTTTATTATATTTGTATTTACTTTATTTTGTTAAATTGTAATTTTTTATTATTTCTCATTTAAAACTTACTTTATTTTGTTAAATTTGTTTGACTTTTTTTAATGTATTTCAGTTAATTTTGTTTATTACCATTTAATATCAGTTATTGTAATTTGGTTATCATTTACCATTTAATTCTTATTGTAAGTTTGTTGTATTTAAAATTATATTCAAATACCAAATTGTTATTAGATTGATAAAATTTAATGATTGTGTTCATTTTTTAATCTTCATTAGCGATTATCGAATGACATTAACTTGAAGTAAATGCAAATCAAAGTACAAGAATTATTATTTGATAAACAAATACATCATTTTCTCATCAATTGTTACTTGATGGCAACAAAAGTGGACATGTTTTTCTAGTGTGTCATAGTTTCTACAATGCCCACATCTTCTGTCTTGTCTAGATCTTTCTTGAATATCCATATCGCAATGAATTCAATTGGATTTTGGATGACCACGCTCCCTCAATAAACTCGGATTTGGTACAATCGGAAGCTAATCTTGAACCTCATCAGGGTCTTTGTCATTACCTATGGGGGGAAACTCAAATTTGTATACCTTAAAAACTTCAGATAGTAGGTATACGGGATCCAAAAAATGGTTATAGTCTTGACGTGTATGCGAGCAAACTGCTATCACATGATAGCATGGATACTTCAGAGCTTGAAAAAACCCGCAATCGCACGTTCTATCCCTTAGATTTACTCTTAACGACACAGCTTTAATCCCTTGAAGAGGTCGCGACAACTCTGTGGCACGAAACATTTCATGCCTTCTAGAGAAGCTTGTTACAGACATTCCATTTGATGCAGCAATTTTTTTCTGTAGATCTGCAACTAATCTAGGGTGATAGACATGACCGCCTTGCATCCAGGTTTGAGCTTGTCCCCTGAGCTTTGCAAAAAGCGCCCCAAACGAAAATATGTAGTCTTTACCAAAGCCGCTACTGGTAAGTGACGTGCACCCTTTAAAGTTGAATTGATTGTCTCTGCCAAGTTGGTCGTCATGTGTCCATATCGATATCCACCATCATATGCGTTCGTCCACATTTCTTTATCGATGAGGCTGATGTAATCGTATCCTTCTTCGTTCTTCACCCGTAAATCTTGAAGCATTGATTCAAACGTTCGAGGAAGTAGTTCGTAACCTGATCAAAAAATGTATAACTTACTAACTTGCTTTCTTTGCAAAATTAAAACGATTGAAAGAAAACAAACTACATCAGTTTCACTTACTCATGCGCATAATTAATTGACGCTCATCATTCTTCTTGTACATTCCATGATAGTTCGCAGCAATGTGTCGGAAACAATACCTATGTTGGACAAAGGGTGGTTGCCACATTAGACCCAAAGACTCCATTGTTGCTTTGATCCCAGCTCCGCGATCTGAAATGACACAGATGTTTTCCCTCGTGATAATATGTGCACGTAAATTTTGGAGGAAAAAAGCCCAAGAATCTGTATCTTCTCCTTCGACAAGAGCAAAATCAACTGGAAGAATGTTGCGATTACCATCTTGGACAACTGTCAATAATAAAACTTGCTTGTATTTTTCATACAAGAAAGTCTCGTCGATCTGGATCACAGGCTTTTAGTATTTGGCAGCATTAACGCACTATGGGTAACTCCAAAAAACCCAGTAAAATTGGCTTCGATCGCGAAGAACTCGATCATTATGGTATGCATAGGAGGTTTCGAAGTCCACAGTTATCCCAGGATTCAACGTCCGTACCAGCCTAAACCAACCTGGAAGTTCGTTTTAAGATGCATCCCATTCGCCATGAAGTTTGACAA